GTTCAGCAGTCATTATGCTATAAACATGGAGTTCTTTGCTATTAAGTAACACATTTTAAGTTGGCATCTACAGACCGTTAACAGCCATCCTTCTTCGCTTAATTCAATGCAGCCACTTCAGAAGAATATGAGTCACTGGTTTTCTTACTTTTTTACCAACCATTCTCATACAGCTAGCTTGCTGCATCTGCTTCATTTCATTTAAAAGCCACATACATTTTGAAACTTAAAATAAGGAGATAGCCTCTTTTCTCCTTATTATTGCTGAATTCTGTTTCTAATTACATTTTCTTTCTGTCTTTCCTGCCATCTTTCCTCATCTTTTATATTCCTAAAATGTAATACCTTAGAGGTGGGGAATGGTAGCATGGCATGCTATCTAGAAGTAGTATGAAAGTAGTAATCTGTCTAACATGTCCCCCTTGCCTTCCTTTCCCTTGCGCTCCTCTTTCTATGTGTAGCTGTAAGGTCTGTGATCAGGGATTATTCCATTTTGTGTTACCAAAACAGTTCTATGTGGCAAATGTAGAACAGCAACCGAGATGAGTTAACCTTTAAACCATGAAAGGGAATAATAAATCTGTGGTGTGGGGTAGGTTGTTTGTGGGTTTTTTGTTTAACTTTTTCATTACTTATGAGACAAAATGACTGGCTCTGGACTTTCTCATTGCTGGTAACTTCTCTGGTGTGTGACTAACAATATATCTGCAGTTATACTTACTGGGAAGTCGGTGACTAGGTGGGACTTAAGATCTAGAGGAAATAGCAGAAGAAATATTAGTCCCATATGAATTTCTTGGGTTTTTTCAGTTGAAGTGTTAGGCACTTCAGAAAATAGTTGTGGATTGTCCTAAACGTGTTGATAACTTTGATAGCTATAGAAGAATACCTACAGGCTTGGTTTGTTGGAAGATTAAAGGATTGCTGTATATTTATCTGTGGTAGTATGCAACTGACTTTTGACTGAATGTTTGGTTTTTATATTCATAACCAAATTGGTTATGAAAATTGATCTGATTTATTGGTAATCTAAAGTATTTTTCTTTCATAAGCGTTACCTTTTTTTCACTGCAGGTGCCTCCTTTGATCCAGAAAACGTATTCAGATCCTGACCATTGCCGTGTTGCAGCACCAATTGATGACAATGTGAGTCTGACGTTTGTGCTTTCAAAGTTGACTCCTCTAAAACCAAATGAATGAATTCCTTCTTAAACTATGTATTTATTGTTTCCTAATATTATACTAGGCACTTACAAACTGTTCTTAACTTTTTAAAAAGAAACTTACATGCTTCCTTCTAAAATTAACACCTTTGTTAGTACTAAACGAGTGTACACATTACTGCTTCTGTGTTTTGTTTGGGGTTTTCTTCCCCTTCCTCCCTCCAATTCCTGTCTGTTTAAAGTAGTATGGTACCAGACTGTTAGCATCATTTCCATTGGCATTTTATGGATTCTGATTTCTGATGTGACCTTTTATGGGACATTTGTTTAATGGATCAGAAATAGTGTTTGCTGTGTTTTTATGGAAAAAAAAAAACCTTCAGAATGTTTTCCTAAATAATAAACTTTTAGTATTTGGATACCTAAAATGTATAAAGTAGTAATACTAGAAACTTGAAAGTGAAGTTTAAGCTGTTGATGTTATCATAACCTGTGGCATTTTGTTATTGTTTTGATTGAAACATTGATCCTATATGTGAAAACAATTGGAAAAAACCCTTTTATCTCTTAAGTAGGACAGAAAGGCCATAAGATTACCAGTGATTATATGCAATTTGCTATGGTCATAAATCTACACCTGTTCTGCCCTTCACGTTTTGGGCTTTTTGGTCACATCAAAGCATTCCAGTTTGTCTTCATGTGTATAACTGCTGTGACGGCTTGGTAGATGTATTTTTGCTCAAATAACATAGCCTTGAGTTCTTCTGTGTTTTCTTGTTAGCCATTATTTTTCACTATATCGGACTGTATCCATAAATTTGTAGTTACAAATTTACTTTGTCAACTTTACGAAGTATCTTTGATACTCCTGATGCTTCTGTTTTGCACAGGCAAAACAAAATAATATTCAAGTGTATGAGCAACTTCTCTGCAAATATTTCATTGATCTTCTGTAAAATGAATAGAAGCTACAATTCTTGATGGCTTTTAATTTAATATACCAAGTGTTTCCAAAAGGCAGATTTCAAATGTTTTAAAACCTTTCAACTGGCAACTGCTATTTTAAGATACATTGTTCACAACTTACAGTCACTAAATCAGACAAAAAAATATGGCAGTTGAGTGGAATTTTACATGGAGAAGCAGTACTGTAAAAGTGAGGCATGGATCTATAGAATCTCCAGCTGGATTATGAATCCACTGTCTGTTGTATATAAAGATGTACTTGTGTAGTCCACCAAAAAAAATGTCCACATAGCTCTGAGATCTTGCCACTTCTTCTGGTGTAGGATTAACAACATAGTGCAAACTACTACTCTTTCAGGTAAAGCTGTATCAGATTTGTATTTGTTGTATTTGAGATCAATATTTGTGGTCTCTCATGCAATACAACTGTAACTCCAAATGTTGTCTTTTTATGCAATAGCTTAACAATATGTAGGCTTGCATTTTGGGTGGTAAATGCCCCATCCCTGGAAACTTTCAAGGTCAGGCTGGGTGGAGCTCTAAGCAATCTGATCTAGTTTCTGCTAGCAACGTGATGTTCCTGCTCATTGCAGGGGAGTTGGACTAAATGACCTGTAAAGGTCCCTTCCAACCCAAACCATTCTATTGTAGTTCTGTATAAGCAGGCCATGAGAAGCTGCTGTTGTTTCTATAAGGGAAACATTAATAACAACTAAGATGAAAGATCTAATACTTTTCATGCTAGAATTTAGTAAACTCCCCCTCAAATTTTAATATTTGAAAAATTGTTGACAGTTACTGCAAGTGTACACCATCCATCTTTAAAAACTTTTACATAGTTACTGAATCCTCTGTTCTAGGTTTTCCATAAAAGTTGTTTTCTGTAAGCCAATCTATGTAACATACTCTTTTAAATAATAAAATAATATTGCTGCTTTTCTTAATCTACAAGCATAAAAGCACCTAATAGCAATGCCGATTAGAACGCTATCTAAACTAAAGATAGTTTATTGCAATGAAGTGTCCTTGTTAGGAGGTTCTGAATTTGGCACAGTGCATCCCTAAGAACAAGATGCCAAAGAAAAGTTCGTTCCACAGTTTTCATGTTAGGCAGTTGAAAACATAACTACTAAAGGAAGAGGTCAGGGACATGCTTATTTGTATTAACTTTGTTCAACATTGGTGAAATAACTGTTTCTTTTTGTCTCAGTTTAAAAATTCAATGTATTTAAGTCTATTTTATCTTTAATTTTCAATCTTTCTTTGCTATTAGTAATGTTACAGAAGATTTAGGGAAGATTTCATATTACAGTAAAATACAGAACAAAGTGTTTTTGTCATTGCTCTGCTTATACTGAAGCTGTGAGGTAGCTACTGGAACTGTAGCTTTCTTGAACTGAAATAAAAGTTTACTGATTGTACTTCTTGTTTGATCAGGTGGATGACAATATTCCGCTGAGAGTAATGCTCCTCCTTATGGATGAAGTCTTTGATTTAAAGGAAAGAAATCAGTGGTTAAGAAGAAATATAAAAAACCTGCTTCAGCAGCTTATTAGAGCAACATATGGTGACACAATTAATAGGTACTGCTTTTCTTATATAGAGTGTTGGTGTGAGTGAGACTGTGTCTATAAATCCTTTTTGGTATTACTAAATTATTGTGGTTTAAATTTGCATGTATTCCCTTTTGAAGAGGATCAATAAGCCAAATACAAATGTGGTGTGACATGGAGATAAACACAAAACATTGCTGAAAGACAAATTCCAGTAACTCTCATATGCCAGAAAATTTCCAAAAGAGCTTTCACATATCAACAAGAGTAAATGTTTTTGTGAATGTAACTTAATACTGATGGTGTCTATGCTTTTTGCCCTGTGCTTTACGCTCCATTTTTTGTTGTTAATACTATTTATTACTTTCTGCACAATTTCTGTTTACATTCTTTGATGCCACAAATAATACACTGGCACTATCAAGTTACATGGACTGTACTGAGTTGCTATGTTAAGTTTTTGCTCTCACACTTTAAAAGATGGAGGTGTGGGGGGAAGGAAAATATTGTTACTCGGTCCTTTCTGCATCCCCATCATCTCTGTAATTCACATACACCCTTCTTCATGCAAATGCGAAGCAAATTAGTAGTGCTAAATAAGTAACGTTTCTTGCCCTCAACTTTGAAATATACTGTTTCCATGCTTTCCCTTCTAATAATTAGTTTCTGAAATGTAAATAAAAATACAGAACAAAAAAAGAAACAGGATTGGCACTAAATTGTCACTTTGGTTTAGTGCCAAGAATCAAAAACTTAATTTCCCATAGGTGAGGAGTAGTTTCTATAACTTTTTCAGGACATTGCTCACTATGTCATTACTTCTTATCCTTCACAAGTATATTTTTTATGTTTTCATCATCACTGTTTAACATATAGACAGTTCTTGTGGTACCAGTAGTGATGCAACCATGTGATAATAATAACATTGGTGTTTTTCAAATAATTCCTTGTGGCCAGGTGACAATTATCTTGAGACCTGTGCTCCCAAAAACATGCTGCCATGTTGAACACTCTGAATACTTTTTGCTGTTTTCAGGTTGTAGTATAACTGGCTGAGTTTGTGCATACGCTTCTGCTTTCTTATTGCAGAGGTGTGTGCAGAACTATTTTGCTTCTGCATTTGGAGCTATTCCAGGTTCAGCAGTCATACCTTTTCCTAGCAGATTCTTGGGCTTTAATGTCATTCTGCAGCAAAATTGTGTTTTTCTGTTTCTTAGAAAACTAAATTCAAATTATGTTTAGGGAGATAATCCTGGGATCATGGTGACACACAGATGCGTGTATCATATCTGTAAACATACTAGATTTGGACATTGACCTGTGTGTATGTGTTGATGAATGAAGGCCAAAGTTTATGATCAGTCTGTATCTTCTGTTAAAGATTATGATGTATCTCCATACATAAGTATGGTAATTCGATACTTTAAGCAGGTTCTTTGCTTACAGAAGCAGAACTAGAAGAGCGCTCTATGAAGAGGAGTGCTTTACAAGCAGAACATTTATCTAATGCTGATGGGAGATGCAACATCAATTTTCAAGCCTGCTTTGTCACCATACATTTACTCAAAAAGAAAAAGGCTTTTGCTTTAGGAGTGATCAGTGATTTTAGACTTTTATCTTGAGAATCAGCGTTTGCCTTCCTAGCATGCAGTTTTATAGAACTCACAGAGTTGGAGAAAGCTGACATTGAACTTTGTTTGCCCTAGAGTGCTCTTTAAAATGCTATACCTATTTCTTCTCTGTTTTAAAAATTAAATGAAAGTTGTTACTTTGGTTTTAGAAAAATAGTTGATCATGTTGATTGGATGACATCTCCTGAGCAAGTAGCAGATGCGGTGAAACGCTTCAGGTATGTCTTTTATCATAGATGTTAAATATGAAGTACTTGCCAATTGATGTCTAATCAGTCTGTGCATTCTTCGCAGTCTTTTTATGTGAGGAAACGACTATTATTGTACAGAATTCCACTTGGAGCATACACTGCTTTATACATGTGTTAAATGGGAGAAAGTAATGATCACATGAACAAGAATAATTTTTAGTTTTCTCCTCTTCCTTAAAAAGTTCTTTGTTAACCAGTCTAGAGGAGCTAGAGTGTGGGTATACTTAAAAATTTCATAATATTACTGGATGAAGTGTCTTGTTTACCTTGATGAGGGCATGTGCATGCCTTGTCTTAAAAAGCAAACAATTACTACTAAAAAAACCCCTGGCTCTAAGCTGATGTGTTTTACATGTGGGCAGATAAAACAGAACTGAAGTCTGAGTTTGCAACTATCAAAGGCTCTGTCATGCCATTTCCTAAAAGTCTTAATGGTTTCTGCAGTGTTGTTGAGTGAGAGCCACCTCCCTTGCCTTTTTTTTTTTTAATGGGGTGAAAGAGATAAAGTAGGATAACATATTAGCCAAAGAGTCATACTTGACAGATATTCTGTTATTCTTTATTAAAACCGAGTAAGAACGTGCGCTTCTTACTCAGAAAAAAGAGTATGTCATTTACTGAGGCAACATAGCTTTTTAGACAGAGGCATGTCTTTTGCATTGGGCTTTATACTATACTGAAACTACTTCATCTCAGCTTTAGCTTGTTGATAGGTTAACTACTGTCAGAGATCTAATGAAGCAATTAATAGACCAAAGTCTAGAGTCTCTCAATGGCAATAGAGACTGATTGGCAAAAGAAAATCTTAGATACATTATGTACATATCTTATGTAACAGCAACGTAACTATCTTATGTAACAACTATGTGATATTTGAATGTTTTTGGTGTGTAATATTTCCTTGAAAATTGTTTTCATCTTATTCTTGTATATGGTAGCTACTGATAGGTTGAGTGTATTGTACTTCTAGCTTTTGATTTCTTTTCCCTTTTCTAATATTTGAAGTATGTGTTAGGCTGTGTGAAAATTACTTTCTTGTATTTCTTATGAGATAGCTTTGAGGGATTAAAAAGAGCCTTACACTTGATAAAATTTTTATGTATTTTGACAGATTTGCTTTTGTTACAGAGATGCTTTTTGGCCCAACGGCATTTTAGCAGAGACTGTTCCACGGAGGGACAAAGCTATTAGAATGAGAACAAGAGTGGCTGGAAAGACCAAATTACTGGAGGTAATGCCAGGTAAGTGAGTCTGGGATTGAAGCCTAATAATCCTTGTTATATATTGTTACTAGAATTAATGTGAGTATTCTTGTTGATTGTTGAAATGTTGAAAAGTAACATTAACATATGAACTGTATTTAAATAAAGGGTTTATTAATTATTAAAGCACTGAATGTTTTCACATGTACTGTGACTTTGCAACTGCAATTCTCTTAGCACTAACCCAGTATTCAGTTTCACTAGAGAATTTAAGTTTAGTGCATGAAATACCGATATTGCAATACAGCATGATTACATGTAAAATAACATGGTTCCACATGTAGAGTGTAAAACTGAAGTAATTTTCAGAAATCCTTTCTGCTGTAAGAGAACTTTTAGTTTAGTCCTGTTATGTATTATAGAGGCACTGTTACTTCAAATTCCAAGCTATGTAATTTGAAAGACTTAATATTCAGTTTGTTTGTTGTTAACAGAGAAGCAGAATTTAGCTTAAATTTCTGTGTAACTTCATTTTTGTAGATGAACTGAAGCACATCATAGGCGCTGAGACAACACGGAAAGGCATTCTTCGGGTCTTTGAAATGTTCCAGCACACTCAGCTGAATAAAAGAATGGTGTATGTGTTTCTGGAGAGATTCCTAGAAACCTTATTTCCACAAAATAAATTCCATGAGCTCTTCAACAAACTGCATTCACGGTCAAAGCAGATGCAGAGGTATAAGCAGAGACTACATTCTACTCAAGCGCCTTCCTTACAGAAAAGGTGACACTTCAAACCTATTAAGCTGGTGTATGTTTGTCCAGGATTAATTACTTGGGCAGATTCTCTGGGGCTTCAAACTCACATGCTGTTACTTCTGCACCAGTCTTCTAGTGTCACATATTAGGTTATTAATGCATCTGTAAGACCTGTGGATCTTCTCATCTTCACTTGTAATTCAACCACTACCAGAAGGGTTTGTGTGTCTTAAATGATTTGGTGCGTCTTCATGCAACATTGAGAAGAATACTGGCCCAATAAGTAAGAATGCTGATTCCTTCCGTTCCTGAGTCGATGTTTTGCCAGCAATGAGGAGTGCCAGACTGTTCAAGTAAAGCACAACTGTGGTGATGCAATGGAAGAAAAGGATGTTTTGGCACTGGGAGATAGTGCAAGAATCAGGTGGGATTGTTCTACATTATGACTGTTGAGGCTCTGTAGGGTTCTTTTAACATTCCTGTAAAGGCTGAGCTAACAGGAAAGCAGTCTCTGGAACAGCAGGTTCACAGGAGAGGGGAGAAATAGTTATGGCCCCATCGTAAAAGTACATTTGTTAAACAAAAGTTGAAGTAATGTGGCTTTTATGCCACATTTGCTTCATCTTTCATGTTTTGAAAAATAAACTAACATTAGATCTAATGGGAGTTTCAGTAAAGGCAGAGATGCAGTAGAAATAAACCCTTTATTCTGATTATTCTGTAGCTTTAAGGGCCATATTCTGCTCTTACAGCACCTGGCATACATTTTGCATGTAACTTCAGTGGAGAAGGGGCATCATATTTATGTTCAATTGGCGTATTTGAACATACGTCAAGTTGATAGTTGTAGAAGGAAGGGGGTACATGTTTCAAAGAGGACAGACAACATGTTAGAAGACGACGAAATTGCACTATGACACAGTTTACACGCAACGCCCCACTGAAATTTGAAAATTTTATTGGGTGTAAAAGACTGTCCTACTTAACTGAAAGTTTCCTTACCTTTTAGTGTGTAAGCTTCATATGGAAAAAAGCTAGAATTAGCTGGTTCCTCACAGGTAAAAGATTTCATTAGTCATATGCAAACACTTGGAAATTCCTGAACGCATCTCAGTGTATATATGAAAATAAAAAGGAGATAAAACTACAATATTTTTTTAAATATTTTTTTTATTTTTTGCATAGTGTAAAATTTTAATAAAAATTTGACACCAAGGCCCCACATTTGACATCAAGGCCCCACATCCATCTGTTTAGTTTCATTAAAGAATTTCTGTCCAATTAAAAATAAAGTAACAACCGAATAATCCTGTTTGGCCACAGCATATCTTAGTTTGTGTTTTCTTTTTCATAGTCCCCTACTGTTTGAGCACCACTATCTGGGTGAATAGAAAGTAATCCTATAGAGTCCGTTTGTTTCTGAATGCTAAATACAGGGTAAGATAGAGCTATTGATCAAGGATCCTTAGAGTAATTTCTGTCTTAATGGGAACAAATGATCCTTCTGTGTGAGGGAAGAACATAGACCTTTTATGAAAGTGTTCTAAGAGAAGATAGAAGGCTCTCAAAGGACCTAGTTAAATTGACTGAAGCTTCTATATAGATCATTTTTTCTCATGGACTCTATTAATGCAATGTAGCCTTTTATCATACTACTTAATGGTGATCCTATAGTACTGTTAACATTCTCATACAGTATGCATGGGCTCAAGTGCACTTGTTTTGTTTTTTTCTTTATTGCAGAACTAAATACTGTAAATGAAATCCCTTTCTTTCATAATCCCTAGGAAGACAAGTTGGTAAATATGTAAGAACCCTTCCCCCTTCCTCTCTGCAGGTTCCGTAGAAGCGCGATGATTAAGTGCTGTTGAATTTAACAAAATTCTTGAGTTCTGTGTGAAGTAATCAACATAGCCAGCTCCTATTGTTTACATGCCTGTATCTTCCTCTGATGTCAGGGTGCTCAAGCCTGTCAATACCTGACATCTGACTGATGAAAGATCATTCAGCAGTTGTTCCTGGCGATATAGTAAATATATCATTGATCCTACCAAATCTAATTTATGTCTTTTAAATCACTGAATTTGTTACGCAGTATAAAAGTGGGAAGTTCAAATACTGTTTTGTCAAACCTGTGCAACCTTTTATCTATCTGTAGGTACCATGAAAAATTTCAAGAGAATAGTGATCATGTGCAAATTCGGGATTTTTTTAAATTATCTGGTACATTTCTATACAAAAATAAAATAATATCTCTAGGAATGTGAACTGAACGTAATATGCCATGTTTATTTGTCATTTTATGTAATGAATTTATCACATATATATACCTATACACACATTTATACACATGTGTGCATATGTATATATGTATTGAAGTTTTGTCTTCTGTATTTAATTACAGAATGTGGCTTCCTAGTTCAGTGGTGCCTGTTGGCTGGCAAGAATCATCAAAAATGAATACTTTTTATTAAAAAGAGTTTGTATCTATCTTTATTTAAGTGGTTTTCCTGTTGATGATTTAAATACCTGCCCTGTCAACCCATGCAGCCTATTATCCTAGAAAGTCTCCAAAACTGAATGTTAATATACAGCACTTAAGTGTCTGGGTATATCTTCTGGCCTTTGGGTGCTGTGACTGGCTGCTGAAAATTGTGCCATTGTCAACAAATGCACTTGTTTTAGCCTTAACTACTTTTAAGAGAAAATGAGCAATTGAATTTTTCATTTGGTTCATCCTCAAGCTTGTGCTGCTGGTGTTTGCTAGAACTAAACAGTAAATTTTAAGTGCTACCAGAATGTGTACCAAAATAAAAATATATGAATTCCACAATCTAAATTTTAATTTTGTGCAATATTTTCATTTAATGCATGTGTATTTGAATAACTGTAAAATAAATGACTTTTTAATGTTTTGAAGTCTAGGTTAAAAATGTCTTCTCAGCTGAACAATTTTGCATTCTGTTGTTGTGTTAGTTTATTTAAGGACTTGTTTTAAAAGTCTTATTTGTTACTCCTTTGTTAATGAATTCTCTTGTTCTCAGTGATCCTTGCTCATCTGAGCAAAGCTCATATATTACAAGGGAAAAATCTGAAGAGCACATCTCATGAATATAACTGTTATAAATTACTTGTGCATATCATTGTACAGTAAGTGTCAGCTGTGTGCCTAATTGTTCTATTGATGCTTCCCCCCCCTTTTCCGTAACAAAGAATGAACATGAAACAGGCTGCCATGGTCACTTCTACTGAATGGCAGAGGACTCTGAATTTTTTTTTTTTTTTTGAGTTTGCATTTATGTTCTGTCCGATAGAAGGCTAAAAAATTACACTAATAAAGTATTAACAGGATTACTATGAGTCTCTAACTGTTTATTTTTAAAATAACTTCCTTGCTAGCAGGTACGAATGTTCCTCAAGTATGAGAAAAAAAAATCACTAAAGAAAAAATATTGCTGTTAACTGATTTTTTTTAAAATAACACTTATTCCTTGATTTTTAAGCAGTTTGTAAACTGGTTTTGCTTTTAGCAAATGAATCTCTAAATTTGTTTTCAGCAAATATTTGCAGCGTGTCTTGTATTCTAAAAGGACATATGTGGAAACTGTGGAATTGTGTGGTGTGGGGGGTTTTTTGATATTGTTGGGTTTTTTTACTCTTTGTCTTTTTCCCCTGGGTTTATTTCTGCAGCAGCTGGATCTACCATGGGAGCACAATTGTTACCCTTGATATATTTATTCCAGCTGTTTAACATTCATCAAAAAGATGTCCTGAGCTACAGAGATGCTAGTTCTTTGACCCTAGGGTAAACTGTTTACTGCTTTCACTAACTTACACACTTTTGCTACAGGATATAGATACATCTCAGGAATTTCACTAGCTGACTGCAAGTTCTTATTTGTTGAAGCTGTTATCCTAGGATAATTTCATAGCAAGAAATCCCATTATGAAGATTTCTACAGATAAAAAATACCTGCTATTTGCTAAGTGAGAGTAATACGTGCCTGTGGCTTATTTAACTCGTTCAGTCTATTACATTATCTGGCTTATATTTGTTTTGATGTCTGTTGAGTATGTGAGGATTGCTAAAGTTTTTGTAAAGTTAAGTAATCAGCATCACTCTGCATCGATTTATTTAACCACAGATTTCATGGTTTATGTCTTGAAAGAAAGAAAATTATATAATTGAAAGAGAGTTGACTTTTAAGTATTTCCAAAGAAATTAAGCTTTTATTTTAATGAAACACTTTGAAACATCTGTGCCACTGCAGTTTCCCCTGCACGCATGCAGCAATATGTTTGAATACTTTTGTATTTAAGTATCTCAAATAACTTTTTCCCATGCCATGTCTCTTTACATCACTGCGGCATGTTGGGGTTGGAATAATCTGTGTGGATCAGTTAATTTGATACCTGGTTCAGGAAGGGCTGACTGGAGTTCTCATTTGACATTTTATATAAATTAATTCTGAAGTTGGATTTCAGTATAAAACTAGATCATATCGAATTTGTGGGCAATCAAGAGCTATGTACTGGGAGTAAGGAATGTAGCTTTCAAAAATGAACTTGCTCTTTCTTACCATAAGAGTTTTAAAAGCAAGTCCCACGTAATCTCTTGAGTCTTTTGTGTTTTGAATTTTCTCAGCTTGAGGTCTAAAAATGTGCTAATTCTGAATTAAGTCGAGATTACTTACTGAATTTTCAGTAACCAGCTTACTCGTGGCTTAGGTAAAATATTCTGGTAAAATTATGAGTATTGGGAACACTCTTGTTTGTTTAGAACATGTAGAAGATGGTTGTGTGAGTTACCTGGTTATTCCATGCAGGGTAGCCAGAACTTGAAACAATCTTTTACTTGTTTTGTTCTTCTTCTAAAAACAGGCAGCCCGTGCGAGGGTAGGTACAAAAATGTCTTCGCACAAGTTGCCTCATGTTAGCAAGCTACCGGTTTCTTATTTTTAAGTTTGCAGGTGACATTAGAATTTGATTGTCAGGGACAACGTTTTCCTTTCTGTTCTCAAGGAGTTCATGCAAAACATTCCTTTATAGTCTGCCTAAAAAATTTTACCTGCTCACCTTTATATTATCTATGCTGATTGAAATCACTGGCTTGCCAGTAATCCCTGCATCATTTTTGCAAACAGGCAAGGCCTGCTTATACCTAATGTAAAAACACAAGATGTGTTTTGGGGAGAAAAGGGATCAGAGCTTCGTTTTGTCTTGGGTAATCATA